TACTGGCAAGGGCTCTTGTCAGCAGTTAATAGTAAATCAGAAGCAGGATACCAGTGCTATTTTTTTTTTTAAGTTAAGACCCAGATTCACATAGAAAACCATGTAAGATATGTATAAGGACCTAACATTTTCACAAGTAACAATTTTAAAAAGTTTAATTTACTTTGACACTGGAAAGTAGAATAAGCAGGTTTGAGAGAGTTCTAATGTTCAACCAAGATATCATAAACGGTATTGTAACTTGGCTTTAGTGCTAAATTGTGCCATCTTTAAAGGATTTTTAGAAAATCAGAATTTGAGTAGCTGGGGATAGTTGAATGGCTGGATGGACATGAAGTGTAGAAAAGAATAAATTAAAATTCATATTAAAGTATATTAGAGAAAAGTATTTCAGGAGTTTAAGTTGCAAAAATTTAGTTTTATGCAGAATATCAAATTGAGATTGCTCTTTTCCATTGTAAAGGTAAGTACCATTTTGTGAAATCAGTCTCAGTTTGGATATGTATATGAAAATAATGTGTGTGTGCACCATATGTTTGAATCAAGTATAAAATCTATTTCTTCTTATGGGTGATGGTAAAAAATGTATGAAAGCTGTTTTATTAGGACACAATAAAATGAAGAGTTTAACTTTAGTATGGAAAACTTCCAGTTAAGAGGGTGGACTCAGCCAATACAGGAAGCTCCCTTCTTGTTTCTCGTATTAGAAACATCAGAGGAAATAACCAGGAGAGATAGTATTTTTGATGATGTGATATTCTTAGAACATGGCAAGACTTGAAAGCAAGAAAAGGGATTCTCTAGGTGTCAGAAACAAAGAGGAAAGTCTGATAGTAGAAAGTGAACTCAACAGTGTATGGCCCTCAGGGAAAATATCTCATATGGCTTAGGGGCCTTAGTGTCCATATAGGAATAAGACTCAAGGCACAGGCTACAGGTGCCAGAACCACACACTCATAAAACCTAGAAAGAGCTGTCCTTTCCATGTCAGACACTAGAAAAATGCACCCCAGCTCCCACCCCTTCTATAAAATGGAAGAAACTGTTATTCTCAGGAGACCAGAGACTGGGTCTACTGTCTGCATTACCAATAACCTAGTGCAGAAACTCTAAGCCTCAAAATGATCCAGAGCCCAAAATCCTCCATAGGTCTTTACCTAGAAGGAAAAAACCCCACAAAACTATGTCACAGATATAGCTCAACAACCCAGGGGTTTGATCACAGATTCTCTTGGAACAAAACAGCTCCTGCTAAATGATCACACATCTAAGAATAACAGCACATACACAGGAGCCACCTATTTTGAGAGATTAGAAGATGGCATATGATCAGCAGTGTTATACACAAGAAACTAGAAGCAATTAGAGCAGTCTGAAGGAAACCTTCAATTAATCTTTTAAAAATATTGTAGGGAGTGAGAATTCATTAAACAAGCATAAAATGTTACCAAAAAAGAACAGGTAAATTTCAGAGACAGACAAATATAATTTTTAGAAATAATATTTGTATCTGGGAAGAGAAATACAAACCATGTAAATTAACCCAAGGAAAATCAAACTATGAAATCTGAAATTTCATGACTGGATAAGAAGGTCAGATTATAAAACCAAAGATAAATTTGAGACATAATCTTTTAGAAGTCTAAAGCTAGCTTAATACTAAAGATCTCATTTTGCCAAAGACTCTAACATATCAAAACCTGCCAGTGAATTTCAAAGCATAACCCTTTAGCCTTGAAATTGATTGTCCCTGCTTAGTCCACTTGCTGTGGAATCATTAGTAGGAAGAAAAGTACAACTAATGGCAGTTCTTTCCATCTGTCACTCGTAAAACTTTGGGGAAATCAGTGTGGCTCTTATTATCAGTAATCTCCAGCTTTGTGCAATAATTATTTATATAAATTTATAAAATGAGTGTTGTGAAAGTCTTTACAGTTTAACTCCTTGGGAGTATACTGTCTTTACTGTTTCTTCTCCCTTCCTGTAACTTGTTATTCTATGACAATATCATTATTATTTTGGTTACTATTCGATAGTTTTCTTTAGACATTTGCCAACATTTGTGTATGGAGATTACTCTTCAGTCGCTTTGACAGAATGTATAGTACTTGAAATTGTTTTTCTTGTAGTGGTCCTGAGTGCAACTTTGATTTTCCATATCCCTCATGTGCCATAGCTCACATTTTTGACATGAGTTTGGGGTACGGTTTGTAGTAATAGAATAGATAGCTTTCTGCAAAAGGTAACTGGTCCCAATGGGGTTCAAACTTGTGATCTTAGCCTCATTATCACACTTTTGTAACCATCAGACCTAATAGATATATTATATGTATTTTAGTCTGTAGTCTTGAAATCAAGCCATATTTTTAATTACTCAAGGTTTATTTCAAATATGTAATTAAAAATCACTTTGGGGCATTTCTCACTTTTGTTTGATAGTAAAAGTAACAAAAGTAAAGCAGACAGCCAAAGAACCTAACTCACTTTTCATCTTCCCTGTGTTTTCTATGACAGGGAAAGTCACAAAAGTGAAGCTTGCAGGCAAAGACCTAACTCACTTTACGGAGAGTGTCACGGTACCTTTTTCTTTTAGTGAGGCTATAGCAGGTCTGATGTCAGTCACTTTAGAGACCTTTAGACCTCAGTGCTCATTTATTGCTAAAATGTACCATCTCTGCTTCTGCATTATGAAGATCATCTGTCAACACTTTGAGATATTCTCCTTTGTTATTAAGCTTGTGATGCTCTACACTGTCAGGTTTTTTGCCAATTATAGTTAAGGTACAATAGTGTATTCACCAGATCAAAGTCTCACATTGGCGGTGGAGGAATGATTTGTAAGTCTTTATTCATCTGAATTGTACAATAGAACACCTGAGGAATGCAAATAATCCCTCTGAGGAATCTGCAGGAAAGGCTGTTAAAATGACAGGGTAAAACTATTGTTATTCTGAATTGATATTTTAGCCAAAGTCATTATTTCTTATCTTGTTGTCTCATAACTGTTCTAGTTTTATTAGCTATGTTGACCATATTTTTGAAACAAAATGTGTATGATATTTTTGTTTTCTTTTGCATGGGCTTGTTTCATTTTACTTTCATTGAATCTATATTTAGTACGTTATTTTTCCTTTTTTTTAAATTACATTTCTGATTTCTGATTCTGGCTTGCATAATGTATATTACTAAACCATCAATGATAAATTTTAAAATAAAAGTCTATAAAATAAGTTAGACTCTCATAATGTTCTTTCCTTCATAATTTTGGATAAGAAAACAACTGGTTTGGATTTCCTCTTTTAAAGGACATATATTTGATTCCAAAATACATCTTAGGGATTGGTCCATTATTTCTAGGATATGACCAAAAGGAAAAAAAAATATTACAAAGATTAAAAATCACTGATAATTTTTTTTTTTTGGCCACACCATGCAGCATGTGGGATCTTAGTTCCCCAATCAGGGATTGAACTTATGCCCCCTGCAATGAAAGGATGGAATCTTAACCACTGGGCCACCAGGGAGTTCCCCATTGATAAATATTAAATAAATTATAGGTTAGCCTTATATAGCAAAATGTATGAACTGTTGTGTGAGTTTTTCACTCCTTTATCCCATTCTACTCAGTAGTCCATGTTCTTAATTCTCTGATAACTCTGATCACTGCCATTTTCTTTGATGGTCAGTATTAGAGTTTAGTTCTTGTGTTTCTTGTCCACTGTAGTGACATTTACATTGTTTTTTAAAGGATTTCTGCCTCAATTTTCTACCAGGATAGTTATTAAAGCCTTGGTCTAAATATGGGAGCTAAGTATAAGACTGATATACATTGAACTGTGAAATCTATACCCATTTCCATACTAAGTTCTATCCCAGAATCATAGGCATGTCTGCTGTGATTATCTGAGAGTAAAAAATATTAATAGTAATTGCTGTTAATATTTGTTTATGATAATGCCAAACTTTACTTTTCTAGGTTCTTTACCTACAATGTAATATGTACTCTTACTATTTCCATGAATAAGGAAACTGAAGTTTAGAAAGGTTTAGAAACCTGCCCACGAGTAAAAAGCTAGCATAGTGGTAGGATCAGAATCTAGTTAATATACTCACTACACCTATATCATTTATGCTCTAACTGCCACTTTGCTAAATTACTCCATGCTTACAAAATTCTGTAAAGCAATTATCCTTCAATAAAAAAAAAAGAAAAAAAATTACATGCTTGGGAAGAAATCACTCAATAATGATTTTGAATTTGAAATGATTCTAAAAAGAATCAATAATGTCTTTTCAGGTAATACTTGATATCAATTTCCTAACTGATTTGGCTTTCCAAACCCTTTTCTATTAAAGGAATTTATTTCCTCTGTAGTTCTGTTATTCATGATCCTACAAAAGTGAGATTCATAAGAACAATGTATACACGATCAACTAGGTTTGTAAACCTGTATTTTTGGACTTTTGGGGGGATTAGCAAGAATCTCAAAACCAGTGACAACTGTAAGTTCTTATTAGTCCAAGAAGGAATTGAACCAGGCATATAGATATCTGGAGGGAACAAATTATTTGTTTGTCAGAGCTCCTCAAAATTAGCTGATACTTTTAGGTGTGATTCCTATAAATCCAGAACTTTGTGTTTTTTGCTTTTAAAAATTTACTTTGTAAAGGAAGATAATAAATCATAACATTGAGATTCTCAAGGTCACAGGTATTAATACTGAATGAATTTAGTGTAACTGCAAAAAGTTTTAAATATTTGTATCATAGTTCCTATAGATAATATGTTAAGGTAAAACTAGATTACAGTAAAATATTATGGCGTATACCTGAAGCAGTTGCTGCCTGTTAATGCCTTGACCTTGGAAAGCTATACACAAAAAGATGGCATCATAAAACCGTGCAATTCTTATGAATATGTATGTGCTACTTGATAATAATGAATGTGGTACAGTCATGCATGCACTACAAGATAATGTTGTGCCCTTTTTTGTCTACAGGTTGATAAAAATTAAAGAGTGGGTGGACAAGTATGACCCAGGTGCCTTGGTCATTCCTTTTAGTGGGGCCTTGGAACTCAGGTTGCAAGAATTGAGTGCTGAGGAGAGACAGAAGTATCTGGAAGCGAACATGACACAAAGGTTAATTAGCATTCATTTTCCCTACACTTTATTATCAACTATTTCCTTGCAGTAATTTAATTGCTTGCGCTGATAGAATAATAAATGACAGAGTAATTACCATTATAAAGAGGGAATCTTCTCCTTTCTTTACCATGAGACAGAGTGAAAAGATTTATTTTAAATTAAGTTTTTAACTGTCATCTGTCATCTCCGTACAGTGTTTTAATTATAACATAGGTATTAGTTATGTATATTTTTGAGAAGGAATGATCGCCAAAACTCTTTCGTCATGTTCAGTGGGGGCGGGGAAAGAGTGAATCAGTTGCCTTAATTTTTTCTGAGTAACAGTAATATATTGTTTAAACATTGGATTTCAATCAAATAATTTTGCTTTCATGACCCACGTCTGGGAAATAATTGATACTGGAGGAAAATAACCATAGAATGGGTAGATCAAATTTTTCTTTTTCTATAGTAAACAATTCAAAATGATATATTCAGACTAATATAATTAAAACTAATTTTTGAAGAGATTTTTTAGGAATAGTTACATGCTTTCTGACCTCTTCAAGTGTATTATAAAAGAAAAATGGTCATTTACTAATCTTTCTAACATTTTCTGCTTGAAATGAATATTTTAGGTTCATACTGATCTCTGGCACAATCTACTTATATGTTGAGTGAATTTGTTTCATTTTATTTCAGCGCTTTGCCAAAGATCATTAAGGCTGGGTTTGCAGCACTCCAACTAGAATACTTTTTCACTGCAGGCCCAGATGAAGTGCGTGCATGGACCATCAGGGTAAGATTCATACTTATTCATCAGCTATATCCAGTTCCACACTATTGAATTCAGATTGATATCACTGACTTTGAAGTTTGTCATGGTGGCGGTTAGCTAGTCATTACAGATGAGGTTTTTGTCCAGGATAACTTTAATTATTTGTGAGCTGCTGAACAGTGAAAGTGGAGCGGCATTGATTGAGGCAGGTAACAATTGATTCTGCCTATTACATAGTCTGAATTTCTTCATCCTGTAGAATCTGTCTACCCTCCTCCTGTGGTCAGAGATAAGACGCACCAGTATTGTGCTTGCTTAATCTGTGTGACTGGGTTTGTCTGCAGTGAAATTGATGTTGCTTTTCATTTTGTATTCGCTAAGTTTGTTTGGGTTGCGGGTGGTTCTTTCCTCCTTTGCTTTGCTCGGATTACATTTTCAGCAATAAAAGCAATATGACATCATTATGCTCTTCATAGATACACAGTTGGGCTCAAAGAGCTAAACTCAATGTGTAATAATTCATGCCTTTTAAAATTTGAATTTATAGAAATAGTGTTTATTTTTACAGTGATTTATATTCAGTCTTCTTTAATAATGTGATGTGTATTTTTAAAATATTGATATATAACTGATTGCCACCAGAAAGAATGACTAATTTATTCCCAAAGGACAATAGAAACAGAACTGTAATGGCTGGCTTTTAAATGAAAATACATTGTAATACAGTAGTTACTGTTGAAAAATATTTTGAAACATATGTAATCCAAAATCATGTTACAGAGTCTAAAAATAGCATCCGAACTTTCAGAAATATTCAGTGTCTTACTCATTCTTTTATTATGCTTTCTTAGTGTATGGTACCTCCTAATTTTAGGGCTGCTTTCATTCCTGTTTTCATGGACTACATTAATTTATTATTACATTTATTTTGATTTAAGATGGATAGGAACATGAAGTCAGTTCAACATAATATTAAAGGCGTTGTGTGAATGTGAGATTCACTTTTCTTTGATCTCTTCTTTTCTTTGTTAAAAAAAATGCTTGATTGACTTATAACTAAGGTCCTTTTATATCGACATACAAATTATGTCAAAGCAATTTGGGTTGGTAAACAAATTGCCAGGGTTTATTTTTACTATATATTTTAAAGCCTTAAAACTTCCAAACTTAAGTATGTGCAGAAGGAAAGATAACATGTTCTGGGCTTGAAAATGTGAAAGCTGGTTTATCTTAAGACTGATTGTAAGTACCCATGATTTAATGTGCTAGGATATGTAGTCAGGTAAGCATCAGTGAGTAGCCATATTAACCCAATACATCTTTCATTGTAAAAACTGTGCTTTGTGGTGTCAGACTCCTTATCACTTTAACATGCTTTATTAAGCAGCCTTTAGGTCACCATTATTTCTCAAATTTCTTTCCATGCTTGTGTGTGTCTGGAATGTATGTCCTTGTAGTTTAACATATGGGGTAATTACAAGACATTTCTCTTCCTATATCAACTTGAATTTTCTCTCATGGTGGTTAGAGGCAGGGTTTACTATGTAAAGTGTTCAAAATTTTATGAGGATTTTAAAATTATTTGCTGAACATAGATTGTATGATTTGTTGGAAATGTCTTAAAAATGTCCCTTTATATATTGATTTTTATATGTTCTTTAGATGAGCTGAAATTTTCAAGGCTTTTTATCTTTTTAAAACCTTTGATAATTCAGCTTGAAAGCTACTTTTAAAATCCTTATTTTTTTTTTCCACTGTGAAGAATAGAAAATCAAAATGAAACCTACACCAAACCAGGCCACTGCATCTAAATCGATAAATCTGTGGATGACTGTTAGGAAAAACAAAGCTACGCTTCTTTAACATCTACTGATTTGTCTGTGCTAAATCTGCTGCACAGATAGTGCCCTATATTGAAAATGTTCTAATTGTATATCAGACATCTTAACTGTTATTAAACTAAGTTTAAGTTGAACCCAACTGCAGATAAAAGAAAAGAAACTCTACGCTTTCCATCAGTCATCTTAAATGCAATTATTTTCCCCTGGTCTTCCTTTTCAAAGAAAGGGACGAAGGCTCCTCAAGCTGCAGGAAAGATTCACACAGATTTTGAAAAAGGATTCATTATGGCTGAAGTAATGAAATACGAAGATTTTAAAGAGGAAGGTTCTGAAAATGCAGTCAAGGTAAGGAATTATTTTCTAGTTTAATACTTAATAATTTTTGCTAATATGAAGATACTCATGCTTAAAATGAATGATAACGATCTTTTAAATTGTCTCAGCATTAGTGTTAACTATCAACTGTATGTACTAACAACTGAGCCATAGATATTTACATACTTTTAGGCATTTTTTTAATGTATAAATTGTTAGTAATTTTGTGGTGTTTTTCTAAAACTGAAAAAGAAATTTTAAAGCTGGCTTTAAGTAGTTATCAATAATTTCAAAGAATTTGTTCACTGATGACCAGTGAAAACTTGCACTTATTATACTTGAATATCATAAATAAAAGTAGTATGTATGCATATGGATTAATTCAAGGAAAACAATGTAAATTTAGTCAAGTGAAACCTGTTTTTGCTGAACTTCACGGTTGTACTTTTTTTAAAGAAAAAGATCTCTGAGAGCTTAATTTGCTTTCTCAACACTAGAGGGCAGGTCCAAAATTGTGCTTTATTTTAGCTAATAAGTATAATTTAGTTTGCATCCACTAATAGTGAAGCTATGTTATACAGACGTAATGAATGATTTCTTTTAATTTAAACTCTGTTACAGACTTGATTTTGTTTGACTTTATTAGGTTTACTTAGCAAAATCCAGTAGGTGTGTCAACTCTAATCCCCAGACAGGTAGGGAGGTAAACTGACCTTATAAGCAGGGTTCATTACCTGTAGTTTGTTATTTGAGGACTGGTATAGAAGATGTTTTTAAAAATCTTTTAAAGAAGTCTTGTTTATTTCCTAATTTTAAAGAAATGCAAAAAAGTTTATTCTTATTGGTATCATTGGAGAGATCATATGGAATAGCAGGAGTATAATAGAATTGTTGAAACCCTAGAAAGAGAAGGGGGAAATCTTGGTGTAGTTGGTTCAATGTGGAATGAGAGCCATTTTGTTTTTTTAAAAGGAGTGAAAGAAGTTACAGTTTATAACTAAACAAAGTCATTGACTTCTCAGTGTTGTCATCTGTGTCGATAGATAGATATGCTAGTTCAGTGTATTAAGATTGAACTTTGTCAAGAATACTAATTAGACTTGAAAAATCTCAGATTATTTTTCAGCATGTTATGTCATGCTGGCATATATATTTTTCATAGACTAAAGGTTAAAATAAGGATATTTTTCTGTTACTAGAATTCAGAAATCAGATGCTTCTTTTTTATGTTCTCATGGGATAAGCCTGTTTTACCAACCCTTAATGGATGTCTATGTTGTAATAAACTTGAAAGTTACATAAATTGTGAATACTTCCTTTAACAATACAGAAATTTTATAATATACAGTAAAAAAAAAAATTTGCCTGCTTGTAGAAATGCTTAACACACACACACACAAAATGCTTAACACTAACTAGGAGGTTTTATGCAATAAACTGGAAAAGGTTGACCTCTGGCTTTTCAGTATTTTATGCTTTTTTGTTTCTTTTTTTTTTTTTTTAATTTCTAAAACTAACATTTCAAAATTTGAACTCCAAATTAAATAAAGCATTTATGAATTTCTTTTATTCAGCAAATACTTGCATATTGTCACATAAGTTTTAGGTTTGAGAGCAAGATTGTGTATATGTGTATGTATGTATATGTATTTCAAACATCAGCGCAGCATAACTAATTTAATGCCAGTGCTGTGAACTATATACTGAATAGCTCTGTGGGCTTTGTAGTCTACAGGGATATCACATTATTAGCAATCATATCTGCTTAGGCAAAGCTGGCTTCTACAGATGGCTGCTTTCAAGTGCAAATGAACTGGTTAGACGTGTCTTGTTTAATACATACTCAAGATTCACAAATGGGTATTGATTTTTTTTTCCAACCAGTGTTTCTGATAGCAGTGGAAATGGATTAAATGGTCTCTAGAGAATTTAAAGGAACACTGTCACCTTTAATTAGTAGTAAACTTGAGTCATAACAAAGTATATAAACTTAAATTTAATATGTCATGTCAATTATGTATTTGATTTAAATTGTCTATATAGTTTTAGAACATTGGACTTTAGATTCTCAAAACAAGTAGCACACAGCCTTCCATACATCACAACTTTGGAAAAATCATACAAGGGTATTGTGTGTGTGTGTGTGTGTGTGTGTGTGTGTGTGTATGCCTTTTAAAATGTTAGGGTATTACTGACTTTTTAAAAATTAGCTTCATTTTAAAAATGAAGTGCTTTTAAAAAGCACTTTTTAGGTGATTTTTACATGTGGTCTAGATAATTGTAATATGCTTACTAGGGCTCTGTGACCTGGTTTGTTGATTTTAACCTCAGATGTGTGATCTTTCTTAGTCTTGTTTCTGATTAGTATAATTGCACTTGACTTTGAACATTCTTATCAATATCTTCAAAGGGAAGTACTAATCTTGTTGGTCAAAGGTTTCATGTTCTCAATAAATTCCAGCAGAAGGAAAATACTTTTGAGAATTTTTTGTTTCTCTACAAGATCCTCAGGTCGTCCGTGTTGAGTGGTTGATGTCAGGTGGTGGGACGGGTTGGTGGTGAGCAGTGTTCGGTGTAGATGCGTGGATGCTGAAGAGCCTGTGGTGCTGAGGGTGAAGTGTGTGTGCTGTGCCCTGCGGCGAACCTGAGTCTGCGCAACTGCTGCTTATTTGTATAAGAATCACCAGAAGATTGCTCATCTTGATCTGCGTGCCAGCAGGTGGAATCAGTTGCTTTGCCGACTGATTTACAAGTGGAAAAAAATACCTATCTTTGCAGTTCCAACCTGTTAGAGTCTGCTTGTAACTAGGGCTATTAGTCAGTAAACTTCTGTATGTTGAATTTTAGTATACACCACTGTGTATGGTCATTGTCAAGATAAAATTAAAAACTACAAAGAAGCAATTTAAAATCTGTAATTACAATTGATAATTGTAGCATGCTGTGTCTTTGGCATCATCAGTATCACCAAAGAATTTCTTTTAAGTAAATATTGCAGCTTTAACCTAGCTATATAATCCTTTTTTCCTGCCTGGTTTGATCTGTTTGTTACAGTGACTTGCCGGATGTTTGCAGACACATCAGAAATGTACCATAAACAGCATGTAATGAAACTTAATGATATTGGTATAATTACATTTATGTACCAACAATTTAGTGGAGAATACATTATGATTATGTATGTATGGAAAATCTAGTGCTGCCCAAATCAGGAATACTTTGCTTCTCTCCAAGTCTAGTTTTGAACTTGTGTGCCTTCCTGTATTTTTTTTTTCCTTTAATCTGACCCAAGACTTAGAATAGTTTTTTGCATGTGCTCCTACCATTTACCTTATATATTTCATTATAAATGAACACATTTCCTTTGTATTTCTTATTTACAGGCCGCTGGAAAGTACAGACAACAAGGCAGAAATTATATTGTTGAAGATGGAGATATTATCTTCTTCAAATTTAATACACCTCAGCAACCGAAGAAGAAATAAATTTTAATTATTGCTCAGATAAATGTACAACTTCCAAATGGCATATACTTTTTTTTTTAATTAAAATTTCTGAAAACTGAAAGGGCAGGTAAAGTTGGGGTGATGGGAATCTTCCACAAACAATTATTTTTATTCGTTTTAAAATTGAAATACTGTGTACCTCCAATGAGCTGCAAGTTCACTAAACGTGAACAGCTTTGCTTTTCCCGTGATTAAGACCCTACTCCAAATTGTAGAAGCTTTTCAGGAACCATATTACTCTCATGATACTTCATTAATCTCCATCATGTATGCCAAGCCTGACACATTTGACAGTGAGGACAATGTGGCTTGCTCCTTTTGAATCTACAGATAATGCATGTTTTACAGTACTCCAGATGTCTACACTCAATAAAACATTTGACAAAACCAGCCTTGGTGTGTTTGGGGATGTCTGTATTGACTGACTCTGGTGTGCTGAATGCGATACGGCACCTGGCGGTTGCTGATTACAGAATTTTAAGGCATGCGTATGACACAGTAACTAGCGTGTGGGGCAGCTGCAATTGTATCTTAAAAGTGGGTCTTTCACAGGAATCAGAAGAATAGTGTATCAGGGATTTGTCCAGAAAGATAATTAATTTTGTAGATGGACATTTATTGAAAGATGATAGCGATGATATCACAAAAGATATATCCTAGGTGACTAACACCAAAAACAAAATAGTGCTGGGAAAAAATTCTGCCTCAAAAATGAAAGGATTTGTTGTTGTTGTCATTCTGACCACATTGGAGAGAATGTTCATTTTTAATCATTCCTTTGACATTATTGTGATGAAATTGTTGTGAAAACTAACCCATTCATATCTGATGAGTTATAATTTTGTTTCGATTCAGTAGTGAGTATAAAAAGTAGTTACTGAAAAGATTAGATCTTGAAAATTTTAAAACTTTTAAAATACTTGCTATTAAAATATCTTAAGATGAGTTGAAACTTTAGTGTATGCAAGTTAAGCACTTTCTAAAATTGTAGCAGAACATTCTGAAAGAAAAATATGGTTAAGTAGTTATCTGAAGATCGTTTGCCACTTAGCCTTCTTCTCTTACAGGGACAGTGGTCGCGTTCCTCCCTGAACCCTCCCTTTCTCTCCCAGTTAACACTCCTGCAAGGCTGCCCTTGTGATCAGAGGACCATTTCAGTGAAGTGCAGACCCCCAGCTAGGCCAGCTGTTGCCTCTACTGTGTTATTTTGTTACATTAAAGGTAAAAACACACATAAACTTAACACTGAAAGTTACTTAATGTAGCACAAAAAGCAAGAAGTGATCTTCAGGGCAATTTGCTATAAAGGGGGCTTCCCTGGTGGCTCAGATGGTAAAGAATCCACCTGCAATGCAGGAGATCTAGGTTCCATCCCTGGGTTGGAAAGATCCCCTGGAGAAGGGAGTGGCAACCCAGTCCAGTATTCTTACCTGGAGAGTTCATGGACAGAGGAGCCTGGTGGGCTACAGTTCATGGGGTCGCAAAGAGTCAGACACAACTGAGTGACTAAAACTTTCACTTCTTTAACGTGCTATAAAGAGGAAAGGGTGCTTAAAGATGATTTGATTGAGTAATGAATGCAGTTTAGAAACTCTTTAGTTGAGTATGTTCTTTATGAGAATCAGATACTGATATTCTTTTCCTAACATAAAAATCAGAACTGCAGCAGGGAAATAAGAATAAAATTAAGTGGAAAAAAAATTTTTTTTTTTTTAAGAATTAAGTAAAACATAAGCGAAACTCTTGTACAGGTGTAGTTGACCAAGTTTGCAGTGAAAATTCCTGTTATACTTCTGAATTGGAGAAATGTAGAGATTTGTGGATTGTTTGGGATTTCACCAATATAAGAAGAAATCCAGTCTCTTGCTTTTGAGTCCTCTCCAAAATAAATTGCATAGATGTCTTAAAGAAGTTTGGAATCTCATTAAAAAGGCTTCAAAATTGTGTAATTTTACTTTCTCTTAACTTCTAATGTGATAATTGCACATTGCAGAATAGAAGTTTTAATAAGAGACAGGAGTTTGTTTTGAGGTAACTGCCTTCATTAGGGTTGAAATTAAATGCTGAAGATGTTTAATTTGGTTAGAAGTCCTACAGTATTCTGTATATGTGTACAAATTTTCATTTGCTACAAAAGTTGAGAATTCCAAGAACTTTTGCATATAGATAACTGGGTATATGCCTATATCTTCATGTTTTCCCTCTTTTAATATTGGTGATAGTTAATGTATTTTTAGGATTATAAGTTAATTTTTTTCACCTGTCTGTAGATCCATCTTAATCAGATTTTTTGGTAAGAGAAATTTGATTTTTAAAAGTTTCCGATAGCATTTTTGTTTAGTTTTTATCATATTACCTTCATAACTTCACTTTGGGCTTGGCTCAAACCCTATTTTGATACCACTCCAGGGGAGCATTTCTGTATCTGCTTTCTTACACGGATAGTAGAGTTGCTTTCATGCTTTGGCAAGCAACCAAGGAGGGAAGAACCTGTCATAAGGGACCTGTGTCTGTGGCCTGCAGGGAGGGCCCATGGAGCCCATCTAGTGTAGTCTCTTGCCGCAGGAGTGTGGAAGAGGGGGTAAATATGATATGTTCAGTTTCTTTGGTCCTCCTCCTAGTCTTCATGCAAACTGCCATTTTTTTCTGGTGAAAAAAGGCATCTTGGTTGCCTTAGAGTATAAGGAGTAGAACATATCATTTATTTTTCAATCACTTGTTCCTAGTCCTGTTGGCATTGTTTTATAAAACTTTACTCTCTAGATCATCAGTATAAACTATGTTTGAGGCAGGTTATTTGCAGGTTATCGCGTCCATCCTGTGTTGATTTTATTGTGAGAAAATGACTTTATAGGAGGATATGCTAGTTGTCTACCACGTGCATTCTTTCTTTATAGTTTAAATAGACAATAGCTGGGCGCCCAGCTGCAGACTATCAAGCAGACTCTGCAGCTAGGTAGAGGTCATGTGACTAAGTTCTTGTCAGAGGAATGTGAATGAATGCCTTAAGACCTTGGATACTGCTCCCCTCAGGAGCTCCTTTCCTTCCAGAAAACCCACAGTTAATCGCGCAAACAAAGACAGCACCTTAGCGGGCAGCAGAGCAAAGGAATGGCAGGAACCTGCATCTCTGAGGGACTCGTGAGCATGGCACACAGGACCTGACTGCCTCCCTTGGAACTGGAACGTGAAAGAGAAATAAACTGCACTCTTCTTTAAGCTACTGTATTCGAGCTGCCATATTTCTTTTGTAGCAGCTGGCTTTTTACCTTGGCAAAGATAGACATTTCCTGGTCTTGTCTCCATTATACCTTCTTTAGAATTTATACCTTCTGTTCTGTGTTCTAAGCACAGATTTATTGGGTGGAAAGAGCTTCTAATCCAACCTGGATCAGGCATCACTGCTACTGCCTCAGTGTTGCCTTCTGTAAATTACTCCTCCCCTCTTAGATTCTTCACATGTATAATGAAGATCACAGATTAACTGGCCTACGGTAAAAGGACTAAAGAGAGCTCCAGGTACATAATAACCACACAACAAATGTAAATTCCATATAGTTACCTTTAACTTCACCCCAAAGTGTAGCCACTCTTAAACAGGCCTTATGAACCACACTCAAGAAGACTATAGAGCGTGTATTTCTTAAATACCTGTCCTGTAGAGGAAATGTTAATACTTTATTGTTGCTAAAGAATATTCTGAAAGAGGAAATAGTTGAATTGAGTGATGAATGTTGATATTTTGCTAATAACATGCCAGGACCTCATCTAAATCATGGAATTCCGAGGCTGAAAATGTCATTTCAGACTATCTTGCTTAACTTACCTAGCCTATAAATAAGAAGTAACTGAGGAGCAGAAAGATTAAATAATGCTAACCATAATGACAAGTCATAAAATGATAAACCATGTTGCAAAGATTATAAATTCTATATTTGGAAGTTGAAATTTTCACACAGAAATTGGTTATTACATTTTCAGAATAGCCACAAAATCCCATTTAGCACAATGTAAACTGAAATACCACAGGGGTTTTGGACAGCAAGGGAAAAAGGGTAAGGAAATCCAAACATCTCCACTTGGCAGTTAAGGTCACTGACAATCTGCCCACGGCCTGTTTCTCTCTCATTATTACTTTTTTTGTAAAGACACAAGGAAATTAAATCCCTTAACCAAATAACACAGCTCATTATTTTCTTTGTCAAAAAAAAAATGTAATTTTTAAACCAGTACAGTAGAGCATTATTTGCATTGAATGACCCAGTTTGGCCTTAATGAATAGTAACGAGTTTGGGAGGGTAGAATGGAAATCCTGCTGGCCTGAATCACATAAACACCAAAGGTGTCAGCAGTCCACAGTTTTCCTGTTAATCCAGCCTAGGATATCCATGAGCATTTTCTAAAAATAAATAAATGACTAGGAATGCGTAGAGATAATAGAATATCCAACAGACCCTTGTGGTGCCTCTATTTCTTCATCTTACCCTCTCTCCTTCAAATTATTATTACCATGAGAATCATAAAGGAGTATTTATTTAAAGGAAAAACAGCTTGAAAAGTATCCTACGTGGGACTTCCCCTGGTGGTCCAGCGATTAAGACACAGCACTTTTACTTCAGAGGGCACGTCTCCATCCCTGTCTAGGGAACTAGATCCTACATGCCACTCAGCACACATGTAAATTTTCATCCAGCTGTACAGTCAAGACCTGAGTACTTTACCATACCTAAATTATACCTCAATTTTAGAAAGAAAAGAAATGTACCCCTCCATTAAATGATTGCATGGTATAACCCTTATACCCAAAGTTACTGGCAATGTTGAGTCTTTGTACAGTGCTTATATACTTTAAATTTTTAAAGATATTGGTTAGTAATAATATCAGTATATAAACTATAGAGAAAAAAATTGTTAATGCTTAAGATGGACATAGTCACTGTTGAATGGGAGGTATCTCAGAAACTATGATAAAAGACTCATTCCCATAGATGAGAAGGTAAATTATTTTCTGTGGTCCAAAGAATTGAAATCTATGTCAGCTATAATATTCCATTGTAACAGCAAAAACAATTGGAAACAATTTAAATATTCATCCATATAGGAAAATGGTGAAATGAATTCTAAAACATCCATAGAAAAGAATACCTTCAGCCATTAAAAAGAATAAAATAATTATATGAGTAGCATAGAAAGATTTCTTATTCATTTTGCTTTGCGAAAAAGTAAGTTGCAGAGCAATACGTATAGTATGGTCACAGAGGTAACCTTCAATTAACTGTTTGGTGTGTATTCTTGCAAATAGTTATCATTGTACTTACGTATATGTACACATCTGCATATATCATGTTGTTCAGTTGCTAAGTCATGTCCGACACTTTGCAGCATCTACA